AATTTGAAATTCTGTGTTTCATTAAGCTGAAAATTCTAGAAGAAATCAATGACTTTCCAGATTCATCCAAACCACCAAGTAAAACAAGAAGAGATCAGCAATCTAAACAAACCCATAACAAATGAAGAAACATTAGTAAAAAAAAAAAAAAAGAATTCTACCAAAAATACCTAATCCTCAGATGAATTCACAGCAGAATTTTACCAGACTTTTAAAGGTTTAGGTCAACCCCTCTTAAATTATTTTTTAATAGAAATAGAAATAGCACTTCCAAACTTTTTTTTACAAAGTCAGTATTACTCTAATAACAAAACCAAGTAAAGACACAACAAATAACATTACAGAATAATATCACCAAAGAACACAGATTCAAAAATCCCAAGTAAAATGCTTGTAAACAACACACAAGCATATCTCAAAAATATTATCAGTCACATACAAGTTGGCCTTATCCCAGAGTTGTAAGGGTAGTTCAAGACACATAAATCCATAAATGCAATAAAACACATATATGGACTTAAAGACAAAATTCACAAGATCAATGCAGAAAAGGCCTTTGATAAATTCCACCATGCTTTGACAATAAAAGCCCTACAGATACTAGGACTGAGGGAAACATACTGCAACCTAATAACGACTATTTACGAGAAACCCACAGCCAACAACATTTTAATTGGGGAAAAATCTGAAGCAATCCTATTAAAATCAGGTCAGGAGTAAGGCAGGGTGGTTCATTATACCTACCCCTTCTCAATATAGTATTAGAAGCACTAGATGGAATTATAATAGGAGAGAACTGAATATATGCAAATAGAAAAAGAAGTCAAACTATCTATATTTGCAGATGATATGTGGGGCTCCCTGGAAGTGTCATGGCCGGCAGAGAAATGGTCCTTGTGAGGCTATGGGGGAAAACTTTGTTCAGACAAACTTGGTGCTGTTTCAAACTTGTAGAGCCTGACACCAGGATAGTTTATTTTTAACATATTTAAATCCAAAACTGGATGCAGAAGAATGGAAGTAGACCCATATCTATTACCTTGCATGAAATCTTTCTCCAAATGGATTAAAACACTAAAACTGAAACATCTAGAAGAAAACCTACATGATACCAGTGTAGGAAAGGACTTCTTTTTAAAGATGACAATGAAATGAGATAAATTGGCAAAATGCAAAGAGTCAAACTCAGAGGTGAACTGAGCCCAAGATGAGTCTTAATTACATGTTCATTGAGTTGTCAAAAGTAGTCAAGCATTAGTATAGGATAATAAAACAAGCTTAATATCTGATGTGGATATTAAAAGAATATATCTATTAATGTGTAACCAAATTCACAGTCTCCTTGTGATATACCAAAGGTTGAGTTTGTCAACAATTCCAAGAACTTGGCATAAACACACACCACAAAATAGTCAAAAACATCAAGGAAAACCTGAGAAGCAGTCATGATTGATGAAGTACCAAAGGAGATCCATGGTCTCAGTAAGGCAGTGCCCTGGAATGCAGGAGAAGCATGAGTTTAAAACTTAACACTGGAGAAAGTAGGAGGTACCCTTGAACAAATTAGTATAGGAGACCGCTTCCTGAACATAATTCCAGGGGCACAGACACTAAGAGAAACAATTAATAAATGGGACCTCTTCAAACTTAGAAGCTTCTGTAAGGCAAAGGACAAGTGGACAAGACCAAACACAGCCCACAGACTGGGAAAAGATTTTCATCAATCCTATATCCGACAAAGGGCTGATCTCCAAAATATACAAAGAACTCAAGAAACTAGTCTGACACTGGTTCTTGAGGAGACCATTGTCACCCCATGTATAACTCAATTTGCAGCATATATGTGTTGAAGTACACTGATGAAACTATTTAAAATGGGGTACAGAACTGAAGAAAGAATTCTCCATAGAGGAAATCGAAAAGGCTGAAAGACACTTAAGAAAATGCTCCACATCCTTAGCTATCAGGGAAATGCAAATCTAAACAATTTTGAGATACCATCTTACTCCTGCCAGAATGGCTAAAATTAGAAACACCAATGAAGACTCATGTTGGAGAGGATGTGGAGAAAGGGGAACACTCCTCCACTGCTGGTGGGAGTGCAAACTCATACAGCCATTTTGGAGATCAGTATGGCGGTTCCTCAGGAAAATGAGAATTAGTTTACCACAGGACCCGGCAATCAGGGCCCTCTTAGGCATATACCCAAAGGATTCACATCCATGCAACAAAGACATCTGTTCAACTATGTTCATAGCAGCACTATTTGTAATAGCAAGAACCTGGAAGCAACCTAGATGCCCCTCAATTGAAGAATGGATAAAGAAGATGTGGCACATCTATACAATGGAATACTACTCTGCAGAGAACAATAATGGTATCTTGAAATTTGCAGGCAAGTGGATGGCACTTGAAGAAACCATCCTGAATGAGGTAACCCAGTCACAAAAAGAGGAACATGGTATGTACTCACTCATAAATAGATTTTAGACCTAGATCAAAGGATCACCAGCCTATAATTCACACCACCAGAGGAACTAGGATACAAGGTGTATTCTAAGAGATTCATATAAAGTCCCTCACAGAGCTGGTAAGGGACAAGTCCCCCAGAGCTCAGGGGAAGTGGGGGGGGGCAGTGAATGGAGAGAGAAGTAGTAGAAAAAAAGGGGGAGGAAAGGAAAACATGTGCGACCAGGAAGATTGAGCCTGGTTAGGAATAGAAGGTAGGAAAAAGAGAGATAGAAAGAGAGAGAGAGAGAGAGAGAGAGAACATAAAAGAGGGAGCCAATATTGGTTTGAAGATAAAATTGAACACAAAGAAAGGTCTAGAGAACTACAAGACTGCTGCCAACTAACAATTTGAGCTTCTGTGGAAAGGCTACCATAAATGCCCTTCCCGGAGAGTGAGATCAACAACTAACTTATCCATGGAGCCCTCAACTAATGCCTGTTGGAAACAGGAGCAAACACCCATACATAAACACTGAGTTGAACTAGAACCCAGATGCAGACGGAGAGGACAAGACCAGGCTATAGAAACACATAGAGACAGCTGACCTGAACAAGGAGGAGCTAACGGGCCACTAGACTGATAGCTGGGAAGCCAGCATGGGACTGACTCAGGCCCCCCTGAATATGGGTCTCAGCCAGAAGGACTGAGCTGTCTAAGGGACCTCAGACAGTGGAGCCAGGATATATCCCTGGTGCGCAAAAGGACTTTGCGAACACATCCCCCATGGAGGGATAACTGCCTTAATCTAGAGACAGGAGAGAAGCCCTAGTCCCTACTTCACATGACCTGTCAGACCTACATGACCCCAACTGGATGGCATTCCCCTACATATGGAATTGGTGTGGGGGGATGGGAGGGGAGGGTTGTTAGAGTGCATGTGAGAGGGCAGAGAGGGTAAAAGGGAGGGAGGGAGGGATGGAGGGAGAGGGAACTGGGATCGACATGTAAAATAATAAATTAAATTAAAAAAAATGTTTTGACTCTAAAATTTAAGTTCAAGGACAAGTTACTGGGGAAAAGGATTTCTATTTTTGTTTCCACATAAAATGAAAAGATGTGGATTTCTTCCAGACTAATGTGGTTTGATCAAGCCAGACCGCCTGAAACAGGTACCAGGTGATCCTACATTCAAAACAGCTGAACAAAGCAGCCTTGCAGACTACAGCCAGGATTTCTGCATCTTCTTAGAATCCCCCATGACAGTGCCCCTTACTAGCAGGAAATAGCTTGGAAAGAACAATGCCCAAATTCCCAAATATTGTCTATAAATGTTTGTTTTCATTTAAATGGACTTGGTTATATAAAATAAATTAAAAAAAAAACTTAACACTGGTGTACTGAGTCTCACAGCAGTCCTACACTGCCATAATGATATTCATTGACTGAATAATTGATGTGTTAGCAAAAATGTTTAAGCTATTGTGAAATCGCCTTGAACACAGAATTTGTGGCTATGGTAAGTGAAATTATAATCCAGAAAAAAATTAATCAGTTTAACTTCATTTTAATTAATTATTATTCTCATGTGGGGAGGGAAGCACTTAAAAGTGCAGACTGGGGCAGACTGGGAGGAAATACTTGCAAGTCACATAGCCAACAAACTGTTCATTTCTAAAACATAGTATCAATTGTCAAAACACAATTTTTCAAATGAGACTAAATAGACGCTTGAATAGACACACACCTGAAGCTAATTAACAGAAGCAAATCAGAACATCTCAGCACCAGGGACCTTGAGGAAATGTACATCCAGTTCTCAATGAACTGCCCTACATGGTTGAAACAAAGTCAGCCAAATGTTGGTGAGGTCTTAGAATTGGCATTCAAAAGCCTTACTGGTAAACATGTAAAAATATACAGCTTCCTTGGAGAACAGTTCAGTAGACTTTTAAATATAACTATAAACATGTAATTTCAGTCGTTCCATTCCTGAGTTTTAACCCCAGAGGAAAAAAACTGATGTTCAAATATATGCAAACAGCCTAGATGACAGCCTAGGTGACAGAAGTGGATCATCCTTGTAGAATGTTTTCCTGTAGAGGGCGTTGTCAGGCTCAGTGTTTCCAAAAGCTCATGTCCCTTAGAGAAGAGACAGCTGAACATCTCTAATTTACCAGCACCCAGGCAGTGTATTACAATTTCTTGCTAATGATGCTAATGACAGTATTTTCAGGGCATGGTCATCTGCAGAGGGCAGGGGTCTCCTGAAGGATGCTCTCTGGGTGTTGAGGATTTGGGGGTGATTAAGCCCAGCTTGGACAACTCTCCAGAGATAATATGGAGAGCTGGTTTTGTAATTCTAATTCAATTGCTTAAAGATTTGAAAGTGGGGCTTTGGCAGGACCCGAGCTTCACATGCTCACTGAGCACCACTGGCTGTTTGGCTGTGACATCTGAGCAAAAGAGCAGGTGTGCTTACAGAGTTGCTATGCAACCGCAACCGCTAATCTTTAACCAATCAGAGTTTGAGATTCCATGGCCACTGCACGCACTATAGCAGTTAGCTTCTCCAGAAGCAATCCATCACATTGCTGGGCATCGGGTCAGATGTTGAAGACAGAGGGAAGGGGCCTCTGGGTTCAGCAGCCTCTGCCATGTCGAAAGTAGCTAGCTTATCTTACAAGAAGAGCCAACAGCTCTTGAAATCCTTGTGCGACCAGCAACGACAATCCCTGGGCACTGGGTTTGAGAGTGCCAATATCTTCCTTTCACCCAAGTACCACCTCAGAGACAAGGATCTGAGAAAGATCCACAAGGCTGCGCGTGTCGGGGATGCAGCCAGAGTGCAGCAGCTCCTGCTTGGGAAATGCGGTGTGGATGACAGAGACAAGAAGAAGAGGTGTGGGGAAGTAGAGGGAGGCTGTGGAGGAGGCGGGGCTTGTGCGAAAGAAAGCCTCTAGACACAAAATGTTTACTACTTATGTCTCAAATGGAAAATACATCTTCATTTTATAGAGAACGTTTTCAAGTAAAGGGAAACACTAAAGTATTAATTATTATTTGTGTGTGGACAGCACCCAGGGCCTTGCCATGCTAACAAAAGCACTTTACTCAAAACCCTTGATTTATAAATTAAATTGAGTTACTTACAGGCTTAGAAGTCTACAATGCTATATGGACATAGGAAACATATTTAGTTACCCTGGTAAGACAAGAGATTCTTACATACTCTACCATATTGAAATTAGGAAATAATGAAGCATACATACAATTCGTTTCTTATTATTTAAAACAGCATGTGTTAAAAATAACTAACAGATAAACTAACAAATAAACCTCAGGATAGTGAAAGATGGAGCTTCCTCAGTGTCATAGAAATGGGTAGAGGTTTGCACTTGAGAAAGATGTACCTTGGATAGTGAAAGATGGAGCTTCCTCAGTGTCATAGAAATGGGTAGAGGTTTGCACTTGAGAAAGATGTACCTTGATATGAAGTGAGAAGAATATCACTTTGGAAGGTCACATATACACACAAACATCTACTCTTGTACTAGCCTAAGCAATGATAAGTTGTTATAAAATCTCTTTTTTGTGCATTTAAAATATACATAGAAATTTAGTTTTCATTACTTATAGTTCTAGCTCTCAAAGCAATCAGTTCTCCATTGGTTTGCTCATAGCTTAGTTTCATAAGAAGATGATAACACCTATATTAATTCTGTGTTTTGGCCTTTGCAGAGTCTTATTCTAGGGACTAGTGTACAGTTGGTTTTGAAGGAAGTTACCCACACACTTGTTCTTTCCTAATTATTTTGACTTCTAGAATGAGCATGCATTAAAGTTGTAGCAAACATTTATTACAATAAACCTTGGGAAGAATGGGAATAAGAACCCTGCTCATTCTATATGCTTGAACTGGTATTTCTGCTAACACTTAATGTCTTTCAAAGCAAGGAGAATATATTTGTTGGCTTTATTGAGACCACACTGTATCATATACATGAATGTTTTACATATAGATTTATTACACATTTGCAAACAACTGTAGGTTAATAATTTCACTTTAGTTGTAGCCTCAAGAAAAGAAAGGATGGAGGGAATGGGATGGGAGGGGGGTCGGGGAGCATAGAAGGGAGGGAGGGAGCAGGAACTTGGATCAATATGTAAAATAAGAACATATATATATGAAAACAAAGGATGACAACCAAAAGTGATTATTATCACTGCAGAAGTATCATTTTACTTCATTAAAATATTGACTTCCTTAACTATATTTATTCCATTCATTCATACATTCACTCACTAAAAGTATCCTAAATACTGAATAGGCAGTAGACATATTCTATCTCTCAGGATACTTTTATCCTGAGCTTTGCTAAAGCTAGCAAAGTGAAAGATGTAAAAGAGAAATAACAGGATGACTTTTTCTTGCCCCCCCATTTGCCTGAAATTTTCATGATATCATTTTTTTAATGCTGAGTAATACTCCTTTGTGTGAATGTACTACATTTTCTTTATCCACTCTTCAGTTGGAAGGGCAACTAGGTTGTTTCCAGGTTCTGGCTATTACAAATAATGCTGCTATGAACATAGTTGAGCAAATGTCCTTGTGGTATGATTGAGCATCCTTTGGGTATATGCCCAAGAAAGGTATTACTGGTTGTTGGTTAGATTGATTCCCAATTTTTTGAGAAATCACCATATCAATTTCCAAAGTGGTTGCACTTCCACCAACAGTGGAGGAGTGTCCCCCTTACTCCACCTCTTCTCCAACATAGACTGTCATAAGTGTTTTTGATGGTACACATCTTACACATAAGTGTAAGATGGTATCTCAGAGTTGGTTTTATTTGTTATTTGCACTTCTCTAATGATAGCTAAGGATGTTGAAAAATTCTTTTAAATGTTTCTCGGGCATTTGAGATTCTTATGTTGAGAATTCTCTGTTTAAATGTACCCATATTTTAATTGGATCATTTGGTATTTTGATGTCTAGTTTCTTGAGTTCTTTATATATTTTGGGATCAGCCCTCTGTCAGATGTGGGGTTGGTGGAAATCTTTTCCCATTCTGTAAGCTGCTGTTTTGTTCTATTGAAATCATCCTGAGTGAGGTAACCCAGACCCAGAAAGACAAACATAGTATTTACTCACTCACAAATAGATATTAGATGTAAAGCAAAGGAAAACCAGGCTACAATCTACAGTGCCAGAGAAGCTAGGTAACAAAGAGGGCACTAAAAAGGAGCACAGATTTCCCTGGGAAGGGGAAATAGATGAGATCTTCTAGGTAAACTTGGGATGGGGGGGAAGAATCAGGTTGATCAAATTTGGGGTGGACCAGAGGGGAAGAGTAATGAAAGAAATATCTTGATGGGGGGTGTCATTTGGGGGTTAGGGAAAAACCTGGTTCCAGGGAAACTCCCAGGAATCCACAAGGATGACCCCAGCTAAGACTCCTAGAAATAGTGTAGAAGGTCCTGAACTGGCCTTCTCCTGTAATCAGATTGGTGACTACCCTAATTGTCATCAGAGAGCCTTCATCCAGTAACTGATGGAAGCAGATGCAGAGATCCACAGCCAAGTACTAGGCCAAACTCCAGGAGTCCAGTTGAAGGAAGGGAGAAGGGATTTATGAGCAAGGGTAGGTCAAGATCATGCTAGGGAATCAACAGCAACAACTGAATCAAGCTTGTGGGAACTCATGTACTCTGGACCAACAGCTAGGAAGCCTGCATGGGACCAACCTAGGCCCTCTGTGTGTGTCTGACAGTTGTGTGGCTTGGTCTGTTTGTGGAGCTCCTAGCAGTGGGATCAGGTCCTGTCCCTAGCACTTAAACAGGCTTTTGGGAATCTACTTCTCATGCTGGAATGCCTTGCTCAGCCTTGATTCAGGTTGTGGAACTTAATCCTGCCTCAACTTGATATGACATGCTTTGTTGATTCATGGGAGGTCTGCCCCTTTCTGGATTTTCCTGAATTTTCTTGGCTTAAAGTTTCCTTAAAAAAATCAAAGGAAAAAAATAATTTTCATTGTTATTCAGAACTCTTTGCCCATGGTATAGCCAAGGAAATGGCTAGATCTTCCATGGACCTATTAAAAATACCGTATTTCATGTGGGGCATTATGGGTTCCATGATGATATTTATTTTGTGTATTAAGAAAATGCCAAAATGCTACCAAACAAAAGCTTTAACGTGTCATGACTTATAACTTGAACTCCAACTCCAGAGATGTTCAGTCCTTAAAATATGCAGGATACTATATTTCAATGCCCATTTTACTAGAAAAATTAAGACATAGAAAGGTTAAGGCATGGCTAGTGAGTAACAGAGCTTAAAGCAAGATCCAAACCCAAGTGTGTCCACTCTGGGCTGGGGCAGAGCTCAGTAGGAGAGCACCTACCTGTCATGTGTGTCCTTGTTAGCTTCTTCTTGCTGTGATAAACACCATGACCAAAACCAACTAGAGGAAGAAAAGCTTTATTCTACCTTATAACTCCCAGGTCACAACCCATCACTGGGAGAGAACAGGTCAGGAATTCAAGGCAGGAACCTGGAGACTGGAACTGAAAGAGAGGACATGGAGGAATAGTGTTTTCCATGGCTTCAGCCTGCTTATATCACCCAGGACCACCTGCCCAGAGGTGGCACCACCCACAGAGGAATGGGCCCTCCTACATCAATCATTAAAAAACTGTCCCCACAGACTTGCCTACAGGTCAATCTACATTTTCTTCATCAAGACTTCTCTTCCAGATAATTCTAGCTAGTGTCTAATCAACAAAAAACTAACCTTCACAATGTTTGAAGCACACACACACACACACACACACACACACACACTCCATTTACATACACTGTACTTTCACTGGTATAAGGATCATTAGCAATAAATACTATAACTTTTGTGGAAGAAAATTAAGTATTCAAGCTTTTTTCTTTAAGATGAGGTCTTGTGTAGCCCAGCTGGCCTCAAACTTGCTATGTAGTCTGAATGACTGAACTTCTGATCCTCCTGCTTTCACATCTTCAGGGCTAGACTGGAGTCATTCACCACCAACCAAGTCTATGTGGTGCTGTATGCCAGGATGCTAAGATATATATATGACTTAATGTTTAAAATCATCACAGGAATTGTATTTTTCAGGTCATGCTGTATAATTCCTAAAAAGACATCACTCCCATTTTCACAGGACTGCCTTACACATTGCCTGTGCTTATGGTCACCCAAAAGTAGTGATGGCCCTGATACAGGGAAAGTGTGATATTGATGCCATTGACAGTGACAAGTGCACAGGTCTAGTGAAGGTACGTGACAGCTGAAGATTTCAGCATGAGACAGCCTTGATTAAAATGCTTGAAATGAAAAGGGATCTGTGTCAGATTAAAATAAATAGATGGTGAAAACTGTGGGATGTTTATCCTGAATTCTTTGAATTTATGATCTGTTTCTTGGTGCAATTTCAACAGGCTGTGCAATGTCAGGAAGAGGAATGTGCCACCATTCTGCTGGAGAATGGTGCTGACCCAAATATTGTGGATGCCCAGGGCAACAGCGCTCTCCACTACGCTGTCTATTATAAGAATACATCACTGGCTGCAAAACTGCTTGAACTTGAAGTGAATATTGAAGTGATAAATAAGGTAGAGGTCATACATTAGAAAGGTGTCAATCAACCCACCATGTCTGCTAAGTGTGTGGAGAACCCTTGTCTATGTCTATGGACACACTGGCTCCATCTTCCATCTTCAGAAGCTCGAGTATACCTGGGACGACCTGCCCCCATCTTTACAAGGTCTTATTTTATAGCTTGAGTAGCCTTGAACTCAATGTGTAGACCAGACTGAGCTTGAACTCAGAGAAAGAGATTCACCTACCTCTACACCTTGAGTGCTGAAATTAAAGACATGTGCTACCACACTCTGCCTCCAACATATCAACTCTTTAAGTGTTGATACTTTGAAAGAAGTGTCAGAGGCACAGTCTTCTTTTATACATTCATGTTAAATATTTGTGAAAACACTGATTGTGCTAAAGGTAAATCTAACTACTTTTCTGCCCGTTGAGAACTAACATAGGCAAGCATCATTTGCCTTGCAAATAGGCTTTGCCTTAAAACCCAAAGTTAAAGCATTTGACAAGAGGAAATCTTGTCATTGGAGACCATCTTTTGTCAAAGAGATTTCTGTCTCACTGCTAAGTCTAGAAAGGACAAATTGGAGTGGGGATGGATCAGATACACAGGCCAGTTCAGAAACAAGGCAACTGAGAAAATGACCAACATGATTTTGTTTTCTTTCTTCTATCTTTTTGTGTTTGAATTTTCCCCAACTGTTCATCAAGGTGATGTTCAATCTGAACACCTCAGTTTAGGAAAGAAATTCATGGAGTCCTAACTAAGTGTGGAATCAATTTCAGGATGGTGCTGAAGAAGCCAGGTTGATGACTTAGTGATGAATTAAGTGGGAAACCAGAGTGAAGAACTGGTGTTTACCTGACCTGTTAGGCTTTTCTGGTAGGAAGAGTGTCTAGAATAAGACTATAAATTCTCAAATCTACAATATCTTGCCAGAGTTTACATAATGAAGTCAAATTGCACTTTGAATTGACCGGTCTCTGTTTGATCCCTACCCAGGGAAACAAAATGCAATTTCCAGTTAGTGACTTAATCTATTTTGGGGGGAGTTGTTTTGTTTTGTTTTTTGTTTGTTTGTTTTTTTCCCTCCTTAAGCCAAAACTGCTAACCAGGAAGGGAAGGCTATGTTTGACTATTTTATACCTATGCAGAAGACACAGCTCTCAGCTTGTGTGACTGTTTCATACCTATGCAAGGGACATGGCCCCCTGTATGAGAGGCACACATGTGCTCCAGGTTGCAAATAACCCAACTCAGTATTCACCTGTGTCACTTGCTCTCCCTCTCCAAGCTTTTCACTTTACAACCCTTTGTCTTATACACTGTTTTGATAAATATTCCAGATTCTTAAACAAGTTCCAAGAACATCATCAATATTTGACATTAGTCTCTTAAAAGTGGCATTGAGTTTTAGAATGTAGACATTGAATAAGGATATATGAAAATGTTTGTTAAAATGACAGAATTGTCATTTTAAGAATAAATTTTTGTATTGAGTTTGAGTATGTAGGCCTGTGTGTGTATACATGAAAAGGCTGTAGTTTAGCCAGGATTTCTGAATCTTCTTGGAATCCCCCATGACAGCACCCCTTACCAGCAGGAAGTAGTCTGGAAAGAATGATGCCCAAATTCCCAAATATTGTCTATAAATGTTTGTTTTCATTTAAATGGACTTGGTTATATAAAAGAAAAGAAAAGAAAAGAAAAGAAAGAAAGAAAAGGCTGTAGTTTGCCCCCCAGGTGCTTCCTCTATTACTTTACTCCTGTTCTGACTGACCAGTGAGCCCCTTGGATCCTCCTGCCTCCACTTCCCATTGCTGGGATTTCAGGCATGTACATCCACACCTGGATTTTGTGTGTGCACTGGGGAGATCAGGACTCAGGTCTTCATGAAATTTTGTCCACTGAACCACCTCCCCTTGTGCTGAGCTTTCTAATATCTACACTCACAAACCATCTAGTCATAAGCAAAGTTCATTTGAAGCCAGAGTCTTTTTATTCAAAAGCCATTTCCTTGTGAGCCCCTTACAGGAATACCTGATAATATTTGCATCTGGGATTCTGACACCATAAAAGAAAAGAAACAAGCAAGATTCCTTGGCAACCTGGAGTAAACTCTTGCATCATTAGAAAACTTGCCACAATGTATCCAGAAAGCTACAGTTCCTCTAATGCCAATTTCATTTTATAATAGTATCTTTCAAGTAAGAATTAAATAGGGATAAAAATATTAATACTAGATGTATAATACACAGTTTTATAATAGTTCTCAGAGGAGTATTAGACATTTTCTGTCAGATTCAGCATTTCGAGTAAATATTCTTTGGAAGATAAATTTAGAGCTCCTGTTCTGGAGATGATGGCACAGCTCACTAACTCAACAAAACATGTACAGTTTTCCTACTATGGTTTAGAATCTGAGGGCACTGACATAAAACAAGATGTTGATTTACATGAGAGCAGCCACATGACTCCAAACTGCTATGGTAAACACCATAGTAGGAACAAATACTCTTGGAGACAGTGAATGTGGGCATTTGGAGAGGACTAGAGCTCCAATGGGAGTGGGAGGTATGGTGATATATGATGATTTGTTAAAGCTTGTTTGAAGATTGAGAAAGCAAAGTCAGCCACAAGCCATAGAAGTTAGGCACACACCTTTAATCCCAGCAGCCAGAAACTAGGAGGTAATGGTACATACATACCTTTAATCCTAAAATTCAGGATTAAGAGGTAGATGGATCTCTCTGAGTTCAGGGTCACCCAGGTTTACACAAGATTGGATCAGTCTAAAAGAATAACAGAACTCACACCTTTTATCCCAGCACTAGAGAGGTATATAAGACAGGATCAAGGTCTCAGTATCAGTTATTCATTCTCCAGCCACACTGAGGAGAGGCAGCAGGGTCAGCCCTTTCAGTCTGAGGTAAGAGATAGTAGCCAGCTACTTTGCTTTTCTGAGCTTCAGCTGGAAGCTTGAACCCCAATATCAGTCACTGAGTCTTTTATTTGTTTGTTTGTTTGTTTGTTTGTTTGTTTTTGTGTTACAGGGAGGCACAGGGATTACACTTTCTCTGTGTCCACATCATAATTTGTATCCAGAGAGCTTTTCTAAAATTTTTCAACTCAGCTGACAAATATTTTGTGAGTTTTAAATGACTTTTGTCATTTTACAGAGTGGCTTCACACCATTTTTACTGGCTGTCAGTGAAAACAAACTGAAGATGGCAAAATTTTTATTAATGAAGAATGCTAATATACATGCAATTGATAACCAGAAAAGGTATTATTATCTTTTAAACTTTAGTGGTGGTGTACAGTGGTGACAAGTACTCAGTTATAAATATTGAATTAATAGGAAATAGAACAATTTATAATAATTAGGATATATTGAAACCCAACACAAATCATTAGTACTATGCAGAAAAGAAATTATTCAGAATGGGCAACACAAAGAACCATATATATTGTAGCATATGCGTATCACCTTACATATTTGTTGATGTTTGTAAACTAGTTATGTTGGCCATCTAGTCTTATAGCAGCTGAAGAGATTCCATAAGTTTTATTCAAGTTTGATAATATACAGATTCAGTTCATTTTTTGCCTCAATATTGTACTTCTTAATCTTTTCATAGCATTTTAACCTCTGCTTTTTATACACTTTGCTTTAAAAAGTTATAGTAAGCAGAAACAGGGGTTAAAATTGTTTTGTCTTTGGAATTATTCCTTCAGGAAACTGCCATTTTACAATAAGAACGTTTAATCATATTAGCCCTAAATGACTATTAATTATTAGTTCTAGATGCTGCTATTTTCTTTCTTTTTATTTTTTAGTTGTATTAATGTATGTGGGTATTTTTATTTGGGATTGGCATTGGTATGGGGAAGAAAATGAGCGGTGTTTGGATAAACCTTTCATGAAGACGAAGAGGTAGTGTACAAGTAAAGGAAATTGGCTCTAGAGTCACATAACACTGGATCGTGTTCCTGGCTTCCACACTTGCCATGTGTGTGACTTTAGGAACATTACTGACCACTAAGCATGCTTCCCCTGTGAAAAGCAGGGTCATTGATCCTAAAATTGCTGATGGAAGGTTCTATATGTAGCATGTAGGTCTGTGCCTAGCAAGTGACTGTGAGCATCTGCAGCCGAAATCAGACTGTCCCTTTGGCAATTATTGCTGTATTCACTGTTGTTCCTTTGTGATAAGGTCTCACTGTGTAGTCCAGCTTGTCCTAGACCTCACTTTGTCGACCAAGATTGTCTTGCAATTACAGTGATCCTCCCATCTCAATCTCCTTACTGCTGGAATGTGAGTGTGCACCACCGTTCACAGATAATATGCTTCGAGGCTGGCAATTAACTTTTTATTTGCCCTCCAGCTGCCTGTGAAGTATATATAACACATCTTAGCACATTACACATAAAGTGGGGAGACACTTTATTTGGTGGTTTGCTTTAGTTTGTTTTTAAGTCAGTCTTGCTTTGCATGTGATCCCAGGCATATGCCATCAGACCTGATGAGAGTTCTTCATTTAAGTTTTACCAGCTCCAGACACAAGCCCTTGGAGTTGTTGGTGTCCACCAAAGTAGCATCTATAATGATTTGTCACAGCAGGGTGGAAGGCTTCATATTTTTTTTCTACTTAAAGTATTAAGACCTTAAGATGCTTGGTTGTTATGTGTCAATAGCCAATTCTTAGACAATAAGTAGATCTAGTATAGCAAACTAGGCCTTAATTTTGTTTAAGTACTAAGGGTGACATTATTTCTCTGCTTTTTCAGAACAGCCCTCATGCATGCTGTAAGTCACGATTCAACAAACCTAGTCAGATTTGTTCTTCAGCAAGGTGTAGACCTCTTTTTGAAAGATGCTTTTGGATTGACTGCAATCGATTATGCTGCTGATTTTAAATTCAATTCGTAAGTGCTTATATTAAATGCTAGTTACTATTAAATGGAGGTTCAGAATAATTATAATAATGTATCTTATACCTCAGGGTGAGCTTCTTACTCAGTTCAGATTCATTAGCAGGTACCAAGCAAAGGCCATTAGCAGGGAGATGAGGGATTCCTAATCTTGGGCCTTCATTGTTTTTTAGGTTTTGGTTTTTGGGGTTTTTTCGTTTTGTTTTTGTTTTGTTTTGTTTTGTTTTTGGTGGTACTGGGAGTTGAACCCAGAGCCCCATGCATGCTTGCCAAGCTCTACCACTCAGCTTTACCACCAGCTTCTCTCTTGGGACTTTTAAGATCTTTATTCTTGGGAATTTCAGCACTGTTCTTAGCAAATTTTCCCCCTACAGCAGAGGGAAGACATAGTGCCAAGTCTATGATTCAGTTGATTCTATTAGATCTATTCTAATGATCTATTTGAGTCTAAAAATATCTAGTTTAGTATTAAAGTAATTTTTCCACTGGAATCCATCTTCCACAACCAGCTGCTTCAGTGTCCCTGGAAGTTGGTGGTTTGCTGAAGTTCAGGGTCAGATGGAGCAGGGAGAAGGGAGCTTTGTTTCTGTTGAGTCTCTTGCTTCAGGACTGCCATAAAAGCTGTCACTGAAGTCCAGGAAAACAGCTAACTGCCAGTTTGTTCCTGCTGATCCAGTCTGGGGTTTCTGACAGGGCACACTCAGCCGTCAAGGCTTGGGGTACTTAATAGTTGATGCTCTGTGAGGCAATAAACACTGTGAAGAATTTAACATGCTTGGGGAATGGTTTTCACAACAGTACTAACTTTATTTATGTTTACAAAGCAACATGGAAATCCTTCTTGAATATAAAGAAAAGATGTATGAAGAGCTTGAAAGAGCCAACCTAGGTAAGAATTACTCCAAGTGTGGCTATCCCAGATTTTAAAAACTAAGAGATGTTTTGGATAAGAGCAACTTTAAAAATGTTAGTGCATAAAATGCTTTATGTTGGTCTTTATTTCATTATTGATAGTCTAGAATTCACATGTTTTTAAGAAATTATTTGTAGACATTCCCATCCTGAAAGAACATTGTCTGAAGAAAGGTCCATGATCATTCTGGGAACTACAATTCTGGATGTATGTTTATAAGTAGGAAAACAATTTGTAAATTACCATGTTGCCTAGCTTCTTAGCAGTTCCCATGCAGCTAACTGGGCTTATTATAAAAGCAGATTTTTCTTCTTAGCTTTTGAAATAACTGCTTAGTAATTACTAGATGAATATTATTAAATAATTGCCAGTGAAAAGTGATATGTATAACTAAAACAAAATATTTTATAATCAACTACTTACTTGCTTAAATGTGAAATTTTAAATTTCCCTTCCTAAATTCTCCTATGGCCCACGGATCCTTCAAGGGTGTGTTGTTAGTCCTTGTGTGCTGGTATAGTCCCTATAATTTCTCTTGACTTCTAGTTTTATTCCATTATGATATGATAAGACATGTAAATATTTTAATTATTTTCTATTTGTGAAACTTGCTTTATGGCCTAATATGAGGTTTATTTGAAACAAAGTTTCATGAGATGCTGAGAACAATGTGTTTTCATAGCTGTTGGATAGACAGGTGGAATATTTTGTGAATGCCTAACTCCATTTAGTCTATGATATAAGTTAACATTGAGGTTGCTTTTCTGGCTTTTGTCTTGTAGACAACCTATTGATAATCATGAGGTATTGAATAAAGTGGAAAATAGTGATGAAAACAATTATTTGGGGGTGCTATGGATTGAACCCAAAGCCTCACCAAAGCTCTACCAATGAAACATTTCCTTAGCTCCTACTTTTGTATTTTTAGACCAGTTTTAGGTCCAAAGTTGAAGTACAAGTTCATGAACTCTGCCTCCAGAATGCACCACCACACCCAGCCCTTTTCTTTAATTCCTTTCACAAGCTAGAAGCTTAGCTGGGTGGGGCCTTGCCCTGAAGTCACCACTCTCCTTGCTCAACTTGCTCCTTTTCATTATAGATCTTCAAACAGTAAACACTAATGACCACACAACACAGTCCACACTAGGCTATTTTGACTTCTCTGCAAACACAATTAATTAGACAGACTTTTCAGACAAGCGCAAAAAGTAGCCATATTCTTACCCAAAATATCACAAGAACAGTCTCAAGGCCACATACAAACATTTTTCTCCTCTGCGGAAACCTCTTGAGCCAGGCCCCCACTGTTCAAATCACCCTCAGCACTGCTACCTTCCATGCTTCTACTTATATGGCCCATTAAACCCTACTTAAAGCATTCAACTGCTTTTTGTAATCCAAATTTCCAAAGTTCACATTCCTCCAAACAAAAACATGGTCTGGCCTATCACAGTAATACCCCATTCCTAATACCAACTTCTGTCTTAGTTAGGGTTTCTGTTGTTGTAAAGAGACACTAAGACCACAGCAATTCTTATAAAGGAAAACATTTAATCAGAGCTGGCAGACATGGTGCTGGAGAAGGAGCTGAGAGTTCTACATCTGGATCCACAGGCAGCAGAAAGGGACTAAGACATATTTCTTCCAACGATGCCTTGGCACACCTACTCCAACAAAGACAATGCCTTCTAAAAGTGCCATTGCCTATGAGCCTATGGGGGCTATTTTCTTTCAGCCTCACCCCCAAAACACATTTTTCCTATAAACTTCAGGCCTTTTATGTTTGCTGTTGTTGTTTTAAATTAATCCACCTTGTCCAATTAGTGCTGCCAACATGCACTTTGCTGTGGGGTCAGTTACTGGGGCATGAGCAACCTACCAGTGGGCACATCTTCAAAGAAAAGTGACTCTCCCTCCCCAAACAAAAGTCAACTGCAACAGCTCCTCAGCCAGGGCTGGGGCCTCAGGAGCTCCTCATGTTTCCTGACTGGAATTTTAACTATCTTTCATGAGGTAGTCACCATGGCAACTAGAAAGTCTTTCCCTGAGTCTTTGTGCCTGGTCTATTCCTGTGTCTTGACATGCTGTAAAGTACAGGTACCCATAAGCCTAACAGCTTTGTGGTAGGTTTTCATCCTAAATGAACAGTTTTGTCTGAAAATTTGGAGCAGCTGTACTGTATCCTAATGAAATAAGTGCAGTCTCTTTGGAGTGTCCCTACGTCCTTAGTTCATAAAGAGCACACTATTTGTTGGACAGTGTTGGTTTATGGAAGGGATTCTGCTAACTAGACCACTGTTGGTATCATGGTCATTACGCATTGCAGGTTACTTTAAGTAATTAAAGTTTCACAAATGACATTTTTCTTTTCTAAGTACAAAAGAGGAAGCAAGACAGTTCTTAGTGCATTCATGGCCTATAAGTAGTAGAATTTGTTTTTATTTTAGAATACTCTTCAGGTCCAGTCTCAAGGGAATATTTCTAATAAGAGTCTTACACTTCTAATGTTTTCACTATCCTCTTGAAGATTGTAAATGCATTCTACTTTTGTCTTTAATAGTGGAGGAAAATTCTGAGGATGACTCTTCCAGAAGGTAGGATTTTATATGTTTTTAAAGATAACTGATAGAGAACAGAAAAGAAAGTAATGTTTTGAATGCTTTACTCTGGAATGCACATACTGTTAGATGTTTAAAATTGTTCTGATTGTTACAACAAGAGCTTTGAAAAGTGCCTGTGTGGTTGAAATCTATTTCATACCAATTATATAACTATCATACATAAAGGCTGAGTAATTGGCTTGTGATTTCATATACATATGAATACATATACATATTCATATACATACATATTTCATGACATATAGGTGACCCAGATCTGACTGTAGCCTGGCTGGCTTCCCTGTGCCTTCTCTTGTCCCTTTACAAAGAATGATGGGGGCTATATCATGCTGGACCAGAGATACATGTCCATATCTGTTCAGTTCAAACTACAAAATTTGGTCATGAAGTGCCTGGTTTGGAATTTTCCTGAGCAGCCCACTCTAAGAAGGCATTCCAGTTTTTGACAAGTGCAGTGGTTTCAAAGCCTTCATTGCCTTGGTTTTTGGGAAATCTTTATTTTTCTCTTTGACAATTCCATATAAATATACAAGGTGTTTTAGCTACTTCACCACCACCTCTTATCCCCTTCTCACTCCTGCTAAAGCCCTAATACTCTGTTTTCAACCATGAAAAATTTTAGGGCAGATCTTACTCAGCTGTGGCCATGAATCCATTGGTTTTATGTAAACAAGATCAGGCAAGTTTGGAATGGAATTGTTTTAATAGAAAATAAGATTTTAAGAAAAAACTCTTAAGTGCAGTGTTTAAGTAATTATATTAAGCATGAGTTTAATGGGTTTATTTTTCTACCTACTGCTTCCCCAGTGTGGTTTTCCTTAGGCCATCTCCCATGCCTCATTCCCTGAAGTGTTCCCCTCTTTTATAAAATGCCTTTTGCCCTCAATGACTAGTCTTGTCTTGATTATTTTTATTTCATTCAGTTCTTCTTTGACTTTCTTATTGTGGAATATTACTTTAACTATGTAAAGATGTGTTACATTTATTTATGTTGTGAAGTATTGCTGTAACTATGTAAAGATGTGTTACATTTATTTATGCTGCATTTGCTTAACAATGTGAAGAAGTGTTTCTTTGATTGGTCTAATAAAAAGTTAAACGGCCAATAGCTAGGCAATAGATGGGTAAGCAGGGCTGGCAGGCAGAGAGAATAAGTAGGAGGAGGAATCTAGGCTTGGGGGAGGAGAGAATGAGGGAGAAAAAAGGGGAGACATCTGGGGCCAATCAACTAGGCCAGAGGGACGTGGAGTAGGACATACAGAATGAAAGAAAGGTAAAAATCCCTAAGGCAAAACATAGATGAAGAGAAACAGGTTAACTTAGGTTATAAGAAGCTGGTTGGTGGCCCAAAAGAAAGCCTGCTACACTTTCTAATATTTTATTTTTCTCTTTTGCCAGTATTCCTACTTGTCTGTAGACAGAAGGAAAAGCCCATAGAATTTAAGGATTTTAAGGAAACTTAAACAAAATATGTCCTGGTACTTCAACCTATTTTTTATAATATTTATTATCTATTTACTTATTTATCTATTTATCTATTTGGGTTAAATGTCTGCACGTTCCATGGTATCCAAATAGAGGCCAGAGGACAACTTCTTTGTTTCCTTCCACCATATGAATTCTAGGAATCAAACTGACATTGTCAAGCTTGGCAGCAGGCACTTTGCCAGCCCTTGACCTGTTTTTAATACCTTAACCAAAATGTTGTTTTGATAGAAAACCTGAAACTCACAAATATGGAAGTGATTCATCTGCTCCTGGTAAGTGACAGAAAGGAGATTTGAACTTGAGTTCCTAGATTCTGAAGCCTGTCTTCTTCCTTATTTCTTATTTTGTAAGTGCCTTGATAATTGAGGAGGAGAGTGGGAACAGCGAGTTAAAAAGAAGAACAGCCAGCATCCAGAGTGACTCTCTGCTTCCCAGTTCATCATCTGACCCAAAAGTAAGGTACCCTAAAAGTAATTCCCCACATGATGTGGGAGTGCAGGAGGCTGAGGCAGAAGGATTGACATGAGTTCGAGGTCAGCCAGGCTACAAAGGGAAGAATAAGCCGCCAACCAATATAGCAAGATCCTCTCTCAAAACGTGAAAGAATTATTTTCTTACGTTTTCTTCAGGAATATTTTTTTCTCCAGTGTACTCAATGATAACATGGAGCCTGGAATGAAAAAATAAAATAAAAAGTCAAAAGAACATGATAGAAAACAAGTATAACACTCTATGTTATGGGACTGAGAGTTGGATGAACAATTCCTGGACAAGCCATCAAGGAAGTAGTGAGTTAGGTAGATAAAAGCTCCAATGCTTCAGAGCTGAGGAAGATGAAAGGGAAGAATCTACTTTAAAATCCTGGGCATATAAGCAATGTACTGAGTAGGGGAAGACAAATGTTCAGACTGAAGTCAAAAGTCCAGATGAAACTACAATAGAAACAGTGGAGTTAAGGCAGGAACTCTACACTACAAGTATGAAAATGTCCGTTTTCTCCTGCATGACTCACAGCTGCCTTATTAGCATAAATACTTAACTATTTTTTTCATTGGGTTTTTGAGGCAGAGATCCCTCTGTAGACCAGGCTGGCCTCTGACTCAGAGATCTGCCTGTCTCTGCCTCCTGAGTGCTGGGGTTAGGGTGTGTGTCTCCAGCACCCAGCTATGAATTTCTGGGGATTTTTTGTTTGGGTTTTGGTCTTTATTTATTCATTTATTTTGGTTTTTTGTTTTGTTTTTTTGTCTTTTGTCTTTGAATGTATCTACATGTGTGGGTGTGTGGGCGTGGCTTTGGGAGGTCAGACAACAGCTACTGCCAGTCTTCCCCTTCACCTTGTTTGAAGTGGAGTCTCACAGGTTGCGGGAGGCTTTCCTGTCTCTACCTCCCTCACTCTGTAGGAGTGCTGGGGATACCTATGGACACAACTGATCCAGTTTATATGGATTCTGGGCATCCAAACTCAGAACTTCATGCTTGTCTGACACACTGACCCACTGAGCCATCTCCCCAGCCCATGAATAGTTAACCCTTTACTCTTCTTCCTCATGTTTTCTGACTCAGTGTTTGGTGTGCCCTCAACTTCTTTTTCTCTATGTTCTCTATTTCACTCAGGCATACAAGGCATTTTGATCCCCTGGCTCTCCCTCAACTCCTTCCAGCCCCCATGCCTCTCTCAAAATCACGTGCTTTTCTTCATTTTTAAATATATGTAGCCCACCAAGTCCAGTTAGTGTTGCCCATATGCACACAGAAGAGTCTTTAGGCACATACAAACCCTCCCAGGGGCCTATCTTTGAAGAAAACTGACCATCTGCCCCTCAGCAGCCACTGACTGACTGCCATAGCTCCTCAGCTAGGAGTAGAGCTCTATGAGCCCTTCCCATATCAGTGTTAGAATACTGTCTGGTTTGGTCTTACTTAGGTTTCAGGAAGGATTTAATATAATATTTCCATTAATTATAATTTCTGGCTATGAAATAATATAAACAACTGGCTGGGGTGTGGTGGCCCACAGCTTTAATCTCAGCACTTGGGAGGCAGAAACAAGCCCATTTCTGTGACTTTGAGGCCAACTACTCTATATAATAAGTTCTAAGCCAGCCAGAGCTACATAGTGAGATATATAATAATATAAACAACCATATTTTTAATGTAGTAGATAAAAATCCAGACCCTCACATGTGCCAAGCAACAGTCTACACTTACATATACCCTTGATCCACATAGTATTCTCTCTTATTTAATTTTTTAAAAATTGCGAGCATGAGCACACTATATTACATCATATCTATCCATCTCTCCCCCATCTCCACCTATGACCCACTACTCACTTTTGAATTCATGACCTCTTCTTCCTCTCTCTCTTCCTCTCTCTCTTCCTCTCTTTCTCTTTCTCTCTCTCTCTCTCTCTCTCTCTCTCTCACACACACACACACACACACACACACACACACACACTTAAAACAACACTCCAAATATGAGCAAAGTTGTATGAACAAAAGGTATTTAAACTGTACAGAATGTTCACTTTGTTAGTTCAGGGGACCCAGCACTTTGCACATGCTGGGCAAGTCCCAGTAGGGAGGGAGCCTTGCTCATAAGCTTCCTTGTAAGGTGTACAGTTTTTCCGCCCGCCGCCCGGTCTGGTCCCACCACCGCACCAGCCCCAATTAACACAGAGACACTGTATTTGATATAATTCTGTTGGCCTTGTTACTTGTTTCTTATCCGCTAGTTCTGTCTTAATTATTAGCCCATTTTTATGTATTTCCACCTGGTCTTACCAGGGAGAGGCAGCTGGTGGTTTTTCCTTTTCCAGACTCTCCATCTTGGCTCTCCTTACTACTTCCTCTTTTTTCCTCATCTCCTAGTCCCTCCTATCTTCCTTTCCTATTGGCCAACAGTGCTTTATTCATTAACCAGTATGAGAAACATATACAGAATGACATCTCCCATCATCTGCCAATACAAGAGGACAGTTTAAACTTTCCTGCTTTGCTGAAGTCTGCCAGACACACTATGGCCTATGGGCTAAAGATGAAAGATTACAAAAGACCTTCGGGTGACCAGACAGTGAGTTGTCTCTGTCATTTCTAGAGTTTATATACTATCCTTCTGTGGTCTTTGATGGAGTTGAAGACAGATAGTTATGGTTATAGTTTTCCTTAGTTAGGATTCAATGATAAGGTACATATAGGACTTTAGACTCACAAGATAAAATAGATGATAAAATATTTTCTTAAATCTTACTAAATGTTAATGGACTAAATATTGTTAACTGTGATTCTTATTGGATAACTGTTATGTTATATATTTTGCTATGTTAAGGTTATAACCCTTCTTTTTTACTTAGACAGAAAAGAGGAGATGATGGGAGATGTCATTCTGTATATGTTTCTCATACTGGTTAATGAATAAAGCACTGTTGGCCAATAGGAAAGTTAGGTAGGCAGGACAAAACCAGGCAGCGGGTGGAAAACCGTACTCCTTACACTTCCTGAAGGCTGGAATAATGGGTATGTCACCCAGCCTTGCCTAAAAGCTAACTCTTCAAAACTTACTTTTAGAGAAAGTATTCTTGCAGTCTGTAGGGTTGGTTGTAATGGAAGAATGCAATTTTTTTCTTAGTTTAAAATGCTGGCTAGCAATTATCACAGAAAGAGTCTGATACATTAACAAAATTTGAGCTTTTTTTAAACTTGAAGTAAATGTGGGAATATATAACTAAAATGTTGAGCCTATTCCCCCTTTTAAATGAAAACATCAACTGTGGATTACATGATTCATTTTTACAGTTCAGATACTTATAAAAGTGTTCATCTTCCTAAACAAGTAAGCTTTTCCTGAGTCAGATCTTCAAACCCCAAACTTAGCATATTATTCTGATTTGTTCCTAAGCCTATGGGTGCCCTAAGTATGCTAAGTTCCAAATAAAGGTGTTGGCTTCAACCCTCTCCTGACTCTTCCCTGTCTTTTCCTTTTTTAATCTTTTCTGCCATCCACCTCCCCCATCCCTAGAATATGACAAATACGTGTGTGTGTGTGTGTGTGTGTGTGTGTGTGTGTGCGTGCGTGTGTGTATGATTTCTCTAGTATATGACAACAGGGAGGTAGAACTCAAACACTGAGCACTGAAGCAGGAAAAACCTTGATTCTGTCAGCCCTGACATCACCAATCTGGACACTCACCATTGTCTTCATATTCTCCCCACATTTTCACGCCCCACTTATGGGGCAAACACTGCACCCAACAATGTTCAGTAAACATTTCAGAAAAGGGGAAAGAAAGTAAGAGCCTTCAGAAGACAAGGAAAATTGGAATGTTTTCCTCAGGATATGATGTGGTTGCACACGAGAACCATGCACCTGTGATTACCTGCACGTGACCTCTCCAAGTCTAAGCCAATTAAAAATTCCAACAAGGAGGGAAAAGGGACTACTAAAACTCTACCCCTAGCTGAGGAGGTATTATCAATTATGGTCACTGGTAGGTTTCTGTGCTGGCTCATCTTATTTCAACTTGACATCCAAACTAGAGGTATCTGAAAGAAGGGAACCTCAATTGAGAAAAATGCCTCTGTAAGATCCAGCTGTAAGGCACTTTCTTAATTAGTGATTGATGGGGAGCACCCTGCCTATTGCGTGTGGTGCTATCCCTAGGCTGGTGGTCCTGAGTTCTATAAGAAAGCAGGCTGAGCAAGCCATGGGGAGCAAGTCAGTAAGCAGCACCCTCCATGGCCTCTGCATCAGCTCCTGCCTCCAGGTTCCTGCCCTATTCAAGTTCCTAGCCTGACTTCCTTTGATGATGAACAGTGATGGAAGTATAAGATTAATAAGCCTTTTCCTCTCCAATTTGCTTTTTGGTCTTGGTGTTTCATAAAAGCAATAGAAACACTAAGATAGTTCCCCATGCCCAAGTGGATGACTGTATTCATACCATATGGGCAACACTAACTGGATCTGTGGTTTAAAACTCAGGAGGCAAAGGCAAGAGAAACTCTGTGAGTTAGAGTCCAGCCTGGTCTACAGATCTAGTTCCAAGACAGCCAGAGCTACACAGAGAAACCCTGTCTCAAAAAAAATGATTAATAATAGTAATAAATATATAAGAAAGACATGAAGTTTTGAGGAGGAGGTGATAAGGACATTTGGGGGGAGTTGGAAGTGGATATTATCAAGATATTTTTTATATATGTATAAAGTTTTCAAAAAGTGAATCTGTAGATATATAAAATAAATATCCATTTCCATCATGTCTTCACGTTATGTTCAAATATGCTACACAGCTAGAAGAGTGGCTTTTTTACCCAGTTATGTATAGATATCCATTATAGGAAAGAGGAAATTCATATTCTACAAAGAAACAAAAAAAAAAGATCTTCTGTGGTTGGCCGGGATTCTGCCTGGGCTATCCACACCATCCCCAATAACTATTTTATAGTTTAAGTACACAATTTTCATAGCCTGTTTCTCCTTGTTTTCATGCCTTATCTTGTGTTCACCCTGCCTGAGTCCAGAAAACAGCCTTCATAACTGCCTTTACCTCCTCTGACCTTGAAAAATAAAATATTATGTTTATAGCATTTCCTGGGCTTCAATATAACAACTGACTCTTATGTTTCCCTTATCAATAATAATTTACAATTCAAAAATAATTGATAATTTATATCCTCTTTAGTAATTTCTGCTTAAATGGAAAACAGAGTCTGTCTTCTGCTTCCAGCTTGATGTAGGACTGTTGCCTATCACTGGACAACGCAATAAACACTGTAGTCTTGGTAGTTGCACATTGGTGCATATGTAGGTGAGTTTTTGTGTTTTCTGAAGATTTTTTTTTTCTAACAGGAAGGACCAACAGAGCCAGGAATTGAAAAAAATGGAAAAGGTGATTTTTCAGGAAAAATAAATCACAATTTGCCTTGTGTTGAAAGAGAGCATTAAAGCATTAAATATGATACTGGTGAATGTCTGTGAATATCTTCTAAGCTACAGCTAAAATTTCAAGACAACCAAAGGTGGAATTACACTTGTAATTTCAGAAATTATGAGGCTGAGGCGGAAGGAGCAGGAGTTCGTGGACAGCCTGAAGCACATCGTAGGGAGGGACAACCACAAGGAAATACAGAGAGAGAGGAAGACAAGGAAAAAGGAAGGGAGGGAGGGAGGGAGGGAGGACAAAAGGAAGGAGGGAGGGAGGGAGAGAGGGAGGAAAGAAAGAAGATCCAACCATAATTTCCATTTCTTTTCGATGTTTTTACCCTTTTAATTCATTGTGATGTTTGTTGCTCTTTGACATTTGGCTTTCACTACAGAAACTATTGGTTCTTGTTTTCTCTGAGTCTTTTACAAAATTACGTATGGGTAATTTCTGAACTGCCACAAAAATTTGTGGAAGAATCTGTGCACTGCCTTATCATAGCCAGTGTTTCCTTAGATAGCTATGGCAACTTTAGGCAATTCAATTTCTTTTCTTTGGGGCTGGAGAAGTGACTCGGTGGCTAAGAACACTTTCTGCTCTTACAGAGGCCCAGTTTCAGTTCCCAGCATTCACACTGACTCATAACCATTCCAGTTCCAAGGGACCTGGCACCCTTCTATGGGTACCAGGCATACACACACAGTGTGTGCAGACAAAATGTATAAAATAAAAATATTTTTAATATTTTAAAGTATATATTTAACTAAATAAACAAAATTCTCCATTTACCAAATATCCTTATTTAGTATTTTTTATATTATAATGTCTCATTTCCTTACGGAATAATTCTAGGTAGCACAATCTCACTACACATGTGCATTTGTCAGCAGAGCCAGCTGGAGAGGCGATGTCAGTGGAAGAAACAAGGAGGCTTGATGGCAGAGGAAATGACCAGCATCAGGTCTGTATTAATTCCTAGTTATATTTCTCATTAATTCTATACCTTATAACATGGTAAATAAGAATCTGGGAAACGATAGGCTGATGGATGTTTATTCAGGAAGAGATCATTTACACAAGAAACAGATGACCATTATTTCTTGTTCTTTTTTTTTTAAATAATATTTAGTCCATTAACTTTTAGCATGATTTAAAGAAAGTATTTTATCATCTATCGTATCTTTGTGAGTCTGAAGTCCTATATGTAACTTATCTTTAATACTAACTAAGGAAAACTATAACCATAACTGTCTTCAACCCCTTCAAAGACCACAGAAGGATAGTATATAACTCTAGAAATGACAGAGACAACTCCCTGCCTGGTCAGTCACCTGAAGTTCTTCTGTAATGTTCCATCTTCAGCCCATAGGCCATAGTGTGTCTAGCAGACTCCTCAGCAAAGCAGGAAACTTTAAACTGTCCATCTGTATCGGCAGTTAGTCAGTCACTTTTCTCTGTGTTCTGCAGACTGTCTGGCAGAGTCTTCTATGAAGCAAGAACCCTGTAGCAATGTCCATCTTGTATCAGCAGTCACTTACTTGTGGGTCCTGCATGTCCAGTTTATACAGCATAAATTCAAAGAGTCCAGACAAGAGCAATATCTTGCCCAAATGGCTAGTCTTCCCACATTGAAAGCAAATACCACAATGTGTTTCTTCAAGGTTCATCTTCCTTTCTGATGCTGGTGGTGTTTCCAGGAGCAGTTGTGCCTCACTGTTAAGAAAAAAAACCCTAAACCATTTTAAATGCCATATTATGTAGGTCTTTGAAAGAATGCCTACCCTCAAATACATCTCTGTGTATCTTGAAAACCTAACTAACTTAACTCTAAGTTTTGACTATCATAGGTAACTATCTATAATCTGTATTAAATTATACATTACATTTTTAAATGAGCTTATAAAAACAATACCTAAACAAGAGAGATATACACATCACAAAATTGACCTTAAATTATATCAATAAATGAAAATCCACTTTAAAACAAAGTATTCATATCTATGCCATAATCCCCTTTTTACCTTTAAAATAAGTGGTTGTGGTAATTAACCATTTATTACCAAGCCCATTTAAATTACAATAAACATTTATAAACAATATTTGGGAATTTGGGCATCGTTCTTTCCAAACTACTTCCTGCTGGTAGGGGAGCGCTGTCATAGGGGATCTGAAGGAGATGAAGAAATCCTGGCTGTAATCTGTAAAGTTGCCTTGTCCCAACTGTTTTGAATGTTGGATCACCTGGGATTCTGTTTCAGGGGGTCTTGTTTGATCAAACCACATTAGTCTAGAAGGAATCCTCAGCTTTTCATTTTCTGTGGAAACAAAATTAGAAATCCTTTTCCCCTGTAACTTATCCTTAGACTTAAATTTTGAAGTCAAAGCTTTTTTTTTCAAGCTGATAAATTTTATTTTCTCTGGGGAGGATTGTGTAGGACCGTGGGCAGGATGTGAGCAGGGTTTGAGCATAGCCAGGGCATGGGCACTGACGCATACACAGAATGAGTAAGTCAGTAGAAGGAATGCCCTGAATTGTTTAGCTAACCAGTAATTGGCTATAAATTGCAGCAGTAGAGATAGCCTTGAGCTGAACCGGATAGACCCATTTTGATCTGGTCTGAACCGAATAGAACCAGTCTGAACCTGTCTAAACCTCTCTAAACAGGTTTGAACCAGATAGAGCAGGTCTAAACCTGTTTGAGCCAGATCAAACCAGTCTGAACCGGATCGAATCGGTCTAAACAGGATCAACCCGGTATGAACCGGATCAAACCTGTCTAAATCAGTCTGAAATGGATAGACCCAGTTTGATCCGGTCTAAACCGGATGAAACAGGTCTGTACTGGTCTGAACCAGATCGAACCGGTCTGAACCGAATAGAACCGTTCTGAACTGGATCGAACCAGATAAAACATGTCTATACATGTCTGAACTGCATTGAAACGGTCTGAACGGGATCAAACCGGTCTAAACCGGATAGAACTGGTCTGAACCGGTTTGAACCGGATCGAACCAGTTTAAACCAGTTTGAGCAGGATCGGACGGGTCTGAACCTGTCTAGGCCAGCCTGAACTGGTTTGAACCGGATAGAGCAGGTCTAAACCGGTTTGAGCTGGATCGAACCTGTCTGAGCCGGTCTAAGCCTGATGGACCCAATTTGTTCCGGTCTAAACCGGTTTGAACCAGATAGAACAGGTCTGAACCAGATCAAGATGGATAGAGCCGGTCTAAACCGGATCAAGCCAGATAAAAACAGGTCTGTACCTGATCTAACTGGTCTAAACCGCTCTGAACTGGTTTGAACCAGATAGACCTGGTCTAAACCGGACAGAACCGGATCGAACCAGTCTTACAGGTCTGAATTGGATCGAACCAATCTAAACCTGTCAGAACCAATCTGAACCGGATAGAATTGGTCTGAACCAGTCTAGACCGGCCTTAGCTGGTTTGAACTGGATTGAGCCATTCTAAACCGGTTTGAGCCGGATCAAACCGGTCTGAACAGGATCAAACCGTTATGATCCAGATACAATCTAAACCGATTGGAACCAGATCGAACCGGATAGTGCTGGATCAAGCCGGATTAAACAGATCTGAACCGGATCGAACCAGTCTAAACAGGTCTGAACTGGTTTGAGCCGGATAGAACCAGTCTAAACCTATTTGAGCCAGATGGCACTGGTTTGAACCAGATTGAACCAGTCTGAACCAGGTAAACAGGATCAACCTGGTATGATCAGATCAAACCTGTCTAAACCAGTCTGAACCCTCTGCATCTGGATTCTAATTCAACTCAGTGTTTAGTTAATGGGTGTTTGTTTCTGTTTCCAACAGGTATTAGATGAGGACTCCATGATGGTGGATAAGTTAGTTGTTGATCTCACTATCTGGGAAGGGCATTTATGGTAGCCTTTCCACGGTTGTTCATATTGTTAGTTGGCGGCAGTCTTGTAGGTCTCTAGACCTTTTTTGGGTTCAGTTTTCTCTTCAAACCAATAATGGCTTCCTCTTTTATAAATTCTCTCTCTCTCTCTCTCTCTCTCTCTCTCTCTCTCTCTCTATCTATCTATCTATCTATCTATCTCTCTCTCCTGTCTTCTGTTCCTACCCTGACTCAATCTTCCTAGTCGCATGTGCTTTCCTCACCTCCCCTTCCTCCCTTCTCTTTCTCCTGCTTCTCTCTCCATTCACTGACTGCCCCCACTTCCCATGTGCTCTGGGGGGACTTGTCCCTTCCCCCTTCTGAGAGGGACTTTATATGAATCTCTTAGAATACACCTTGTATACTAGTTCCTCTGGTGATATGAATTATAGGCTGGTGATCCTTTGTTCTAGGTATAAAATCCATATATGAGCGAGTACATACCATGTTCCTCTTTTTGTGACTGGGTTACCTCTTTCAGGATGGTTTCTTCAAGTTCCATCCATTTTCCTGCGAATTTCAAGATTCCATTGTTTTTTTTTTTCCACAGATACCCTAACCCTAACCCTAACCCTAACCCTAACCCTAACCCTAACCCTAACCCTAACCCTAGATACCATTATTGTTTTCTGCAGAGTAGTATTCCATTGTATAGATGTGCCACATCTTCTTTATCCATTCTTCAGTTGAGGGGCATCTAGGTTGTTTCTAAGTTCTTGCTATTACAAATAATGCTGCTATGAACATAATTGAGTGCATGTCTTTGTTGCATGGATGTGGATCATTTGGGTATATGCCGAAGAGGGGGATTGCTGGGTCCTGTGGTAAACTAATTCCCGTTTTCCTGAGGAACCGCTATACTGATCTCCAAAATGGCTGGACGAGTTTGCACTCCCACCAACAGTGGAGGAGTGTTCCCCTTTCTCCACATCCTCTACAGCATAAGTTGTCATTGGTGTTTCTAATTTTAGCCATTCTGGCAGGAGTAAGATGGTATCTCAAAGTTGTTTTGATTTGCATTTCCCTGATAGCTAAGAATGTGGAG